GGCCTTAGTTTTGTTGATGGTTTTAGCCGTGTGCGCAACTTCGACTATCGTCGAGTTACTTGCTGTCATAGTCGAGCTGGGTCGACTTATCGGCATCGATGGCCTTAGCCATTATACAGTTGATGGCCTTGGTCGTGTAGCTGACTTCGACTGTCGTCGAGTCGTTTACTCACCGTAGTCGAATCTGGGTTGACTATTGGCGGCGATGGCCTTAGCCATAATGTAATTGATAGCCTTAGCTATGTAGGAGACTTCGACTGTCGTCGAGTCGTTTACTCACTGTAGTCGAATCTAGGTCGACCGTTGGCAGCGATGGCCTTAGCCATAATATAACTCCCGTGTTCCTTGATCCACGTGAACATAGGCGTCTCCTATTGGGTCTTGGAGTTCTAAAGCACCATTGTCATCTCTTGTCCGTTCATTAAGTTGAAGAGATGCATCTTTCTTGAACTCTTTTTGCAGTCCCAAAGTCTCACTTGACCCTTCATCAAGATTAACACACGTGTCTTCCTTCAACTCTTCCAATTCTAAAGCCCCATTGCCATTTCTTTCTCTTCATCAAGCCGACAGACATCTTTCTTTAGGTCTAGCAGTTCCAAAGCCGCATTGCCATTACTTATATTATCTGAATAAAGAGCTTTCCGTACTCTAGCATATAGTGGATCTTTTAGACGCGTTGCTGAAAATCTTCGTCACCTTTGACTACTGAAGCTACTTCCTGCAAGAAAAATAGTATATTATAATTATTATCCAGAGAAGATAAATATTGATTTTATCAGATAATCGTATTTAACAAAAAGAAAAATCAGAAACAGAAGTGTGAACTGAACTGGCATTAACCTTTTTATAAAGCTTGAAACCAGCACCTACGAGCTGCCTTGAAACAAAATTGATGAATGAGGGAGGAACAAAGTCCAGTTTGATATCCATGTTTGCTATAGTCCTGTTAAATTTAAAAGCAGAAAAAGAGAGTTCATAATAAAATAATAGGAGCGGCAAATTCTTTTTAACACTGAATTTGATGTCACTCTGACTATCCTACACTGCTTATCACAGCATTTGGCTTTTCTTTCTTTCCAATAACTAGGTACTTTTTCATCAAAGAGAAGTAAGGGATCACGATCACACATCTACTATAAACAGTATCTGATTTATAAAACAGTATTTGGTTAATGTTGTATCCTGTCTCGTTGCACATAAAAGCACTGAATCACGAGGAACGTTTTTTGCCAAAATTATCAGCTCTAATCATTTGCAGAACTACTGCTAACCGGCAAAAAAGAGGAGGAAACCTTCTTTGGGCTTCTAGGAGTTCAAACACGCTTAAGCAGGAATATAGATGTATCATTACTTGTGACCATCTTCTTGATGCATTTCGGATGCAGCTCCACAATTGGATCCTGATTCATCGACAACCTAAGTAACATCTGACATGCAAACTAATAGAGAAAAGGGACAACAGGCTATGTGGGACCTAATCTGATTGAGGGGCTTAATGACCAAAAGAAACCAAACACCACAGAGTTACCATAGACTATGGCTATGCTGACTTGCTCAGTGTTCCTTTAAGCTTCCTTTCTCTAATTTCCTTTTATACTAGATGATTTATATCTGTCCATGTAAGAGATCATCGGCATTTTCTAATGTATTCTGAGTGATGGTTCTCTAGAATGCTGCCGGTGAAAGAATAAACTGTTCTCCCAGTAATGATCTAAATTTTTGGCGCATTCGAACTGGCAATCTATGTTACAGGTAAGACTGGTGCATATCTAGAAGTCGATTTGTCTTCTTATAGATTTTACGATTCAGGGTGTGGAGAAGAGAATGGGTATGAGTGCTGGGATATGGGTAATGAATACATTAGTATGAAATATTTGACTATTACTTATTTGCATTGGTAGAAAAGTAAGTCAAGCTTCAGTTAAAAATTTCAATCAAATTCAGTGTGATTTAGTTAAGTAAGTTATGCCGAAACAAAGATATATTTTTTAGTTGTTCAAGTGGTAACCAGCTTATTTTGTTTCTTCTTGGACTTGATAATAACAAAGAAAATAATGAACACTGTGGCCCAAACTTATTTGTGTTGGCCCATATAATGCAATTCTCTGAAATATGTTTTAAAACCCACTTTCACAAACCCAGTCCATTAATACCAAACAACAAAAATCCTAACTTTGGTGCAGTCACTCTTCACTGTTTGAGTTAACTGCTTTACACATCCCAGTCAATCTATGGAATCTCTGTTTGCGTTCAAATGAAAGAAGAGGAAGAGAGATGACAACATTGAAGCACAAACAGAGAGACGAACTTGCCAGAAAGTTGCTGTATCCCTCGTCTTTCATCTGTCTTCTTCCTCACAGGACTTCATTTCATCTGTCTTCGTCTTAGCAGTTTCAGCTTTCGTTGGTCGAAGAACCCGTTGAATGTTGACCAAATTGGGTAAGAATCTTGTCACTGACAAAGGTGTCATGTCGACATTCTAATTCCTTCGGTTCTTTAGGAGCTCAAACAACATGCAAGGAGCACCACTCTTAAAGAATAATATATTGTTATGTTGGATTCTAGAAGAGTAGTTATACTATTGCATATTTCCAATATATCAAGAGCAGGACATACTCCAAGAATCTATGCAACATAGCGGGCAATGCAATTTATATGAACGTTCTCTTTTTTTTTCTATATGTAAATATAGGAACTCTTTGATAAGAAAATTTTAGTCACTAAACAGGAGAAATATTAGCTTATTACAAACAAAGCTCTCAACGTATTGAGTGGAAGAATCATGTTTCAATACCACTGGAACCTACTTAATAGCCATATCATCAACTTCACCTAGAGTTAGAACGTTTTAGAGTGGAAGTCAAAATAGCCGGGTTGTTCCGAACATGGGAAATTGTGCTACCCATTCTCACCCCCCCCCCCCCC